CCCCTAGGTAGACCCCCTCCCCCCTCAGGGTCCTGCCCCTTCAGGTGTGTCCCAGGTAGACGCAGTCGAGCCTGTCGAGGTCACTGGTGACTCTGGTGCTGCTGAGGGTGCTGAGCCTGGGGGTGCTACGCCCGGGGGTGCTTTGCCTGGGGGTGCCGGGCCTGGGGGTGCTGAGCCTGGAGGTGCTCCGCCTGGAGGTTCTCCGGGTGCTTCGTCTCGCAGGGAGCCACTCTCTCCAAAGGAGCTGCGCGAGTGGTTTGCCCGGCGCTGAAGCCGTGCTGCTGGTGCTGGAGGTTCTTCGGCTACTGGGGGTGCTGAGCCTAGGGGTGCTGAGCCTGGGGGTGCTGAGCCTGGGGGTGCTACGCCTGGGGGTGCTGGGCCTCGGGGTGCTGGCCCTGGGGGTGCTGAGCCTGGGGGTGCTGCGCCTTGGGGTGCTTTGCCTGGGGGTGCTGGACCTGGGGGTGCTGTGCCTGGAGGTGCTCCGCTTGGAGATTCTCCGGGTGCTTCGTCTCGCCGGGAGCCACTCTCTCCACAGGAGCTGCGCGAGTGGTTTGTCCGGCGCTGGAGCCGTGCTGCTGGTGCTGGAGGTTCGTCGCCTACTGAGGGTGCTGCTGTCGCGGGTCCCGGAGGTGCTTGTTTTGGGAGTACTGGAGCTGCTGGGCCTGCAGGTTCGACTGGAGCTGGTGCTAATGAGGGTGTTGGCGCTGAGACTACCACTGGCGGTCCTGCTGGGGGTGCTCCTGGTGCTGCTGGAGGTTCTGGAGCTGCTGGAGGTGCTGCTGGGGGTTCTGGAGCTGCTGGAGGTGCTGCTGGAGGTGCTGGAGCTACTGGAGGTGCTGCTGGAGCGGGTACTCCTGCTTGGGGTCCTGGTGCTGTCCCTGCTGTTTCTGGCGTCGCCACGCGGCCTCGACCGTACTTCGTTCCACTCCTGCAGCAGGTTCTTGGTCTTACACCTTCTACTGGTCCTCCTCCTCCTCCCTTAGAGGGTCCACAGCCTGTCCAGTCACAGTCACAGCTACAGCCTGCCTCCCCTTTGCCTGCGCCTTCTCCCTACGCTGGTCCTACTGGAGGTCTTACTGAGCGTCGTGAGCCTGCGTCTCGTCCTGCCTCGCCTGTTCGTTCTGCGCGCGCTAGTGGTCGTGGTTCGCGTCAGCGTCCTCCTCCTGTCCCTGGCATGCACCGGATGTCTCTGCGTCCGTCCACTGCTCCTCTGCGTGCCCCTTTTCCTTCTCCTCCTGCGTCCTCTCTTCCTACTCTTGCCGACCCGGAGTCGGACTCTCTTCGTGCTGCCAGTCCTACTGTCACGCGTCTCCTTGCTACTGCCGTCACTGACCCTTCTTTCGAGTCTACTGCTGCGTCTGCCCTTGTTGCTGAGCTCGTCGACTTTGCTGCTCGCTGTCGCCTAGACTACGCTGCGAGTCTTGTCGCTGAGTCTGAGTATGTCTTTCCTCCGTCCGTCGGGGGTGAGTGTGCCCTTGGCACGGACGTCCTTGAGGACAGGCAGGAGGAGTTCCAGTGTCTGGCCGCTGCTTCACCTCATCTCGTGTCCGTACTGCTTACCCCTGAGGGAGACCCGGATGCACTTGACATCCCGACTCCGCGCTCTTACGCGGAGGCGATAGAGGGTCCCTACTCCTCTCAGTGGCAGGCAGCTATGGATGCAGAGATGGCTTCCTGGAAGTCCACAGGCACCTACGTTGACGCTGTCCCCCCTCCTGGGGCGAACATCGTCAGTGGCATGTGGATCTTCAGGGTGAAGCGGCCGCCGGGTTCTCCGCCTGTCTTCAAGGCGCGTTACGTGGCTCGTGGCTTCAGTCAGCGGCAGGGAGTTGACTACTTTCAGACCTTCTCCCCTACCCCGAAGATGACCACTCTTCGGGTACTGCTGCACGTTGCTGCTCACCGTGACTACGAGCTGCACTCTCTCGACTTCAGCACTGCTTTCTTGCAGGGCAGCCTGCACGAGGAGATCTGGCTGCGCCGCCCACCTGGCTTCACTGGGTCGTTCCCTCCTGGTACCCAGTGGAGTCTCCGGCGTCCAGTCTACGATCTCCGCCAGGCGCCACGTGAGTGGCACAACACACTGAGGACTACACTGGCGGCACTTGGGTTTGCTCCTTCTACTGCCGACCCGTCGCTGTTTCTGCGCACCGACACCTCTCTGCCGCCGTTCTACATCCTCGTGTACGTCGACGACTTGGTCTTTGCCACAGCTTACACTGCTGGACTCGCCTACGTGAAGTCCGAGCTGCAGAAGAGACACACGTGCACTGACCTGGGTGAACTGCGCAGCTACCTTGGCTTGCATATCACCCGGGACAGAGCACGCCGCACCATTACCCTGACTCAGTCACACATGGTGCAGCAGGTCCTTCAGCGCTTCGGCTTCACGTACTCCTTGCCTCAGGCCACTCCTCTGCCTACTCGCCACTCGCTCTCAGCTCTGCCTTCGGATGAGTCCGTAGAGTCGAGTGGCCCGTATCCAGAGCTTGTTGGCTGCCTCATGTGCCTGATGACCTGCACACGACCTGACCTTGCATACCCTCTTAGCATTCTCGCACGCTATGTTGCTCCTGGGAGACACCGACCAGAGCACATGGCTGCAGCGAAGAGGGTGTTGCGCTACTTGTGCAGTACGTCGGGCATGGGGCTAGTGCTTTGAGGGCGGAGTCCAGTGGTCCTCACTGGGCACGCGGACGCCTCTTGGGCTGACGACCAGGCTATGCAGCGGTCGTCACAGGGTCACACTTTCAGTCTTGGTTCCGGCTCTGTTTCGTGGCGGGCTACCCGCTCGTCTTCTGTTCTCGGCTCCAGTTGTGAGGCTGAGATCTACGCCGGGGCTATGGCTGCCCAGGAGCTTCGCTGGCTCACCTACCTGCTGACCGACCTTGGAGAGCCGCCTCGTTCTCCTCCAGTCCTGTACGTAGACAACAAGGCCATGCTGGCCTTGTGTCGAGAGCAGCGACTGGAGCACAGAACAAAGCACATTGCTCTCCACTACTTTCTTGCTCGTGAGCTACAGCAGCGTGGACAGTTGCGGCTTGCGTACGTGGCCTCTGAGGCCAACATTGCTGATGTCTTCACCAAGGCACTTGCGCCTTGTGATCATCAGCGCTTCTGCACTCAGCTGGGTCTTCTGCCTGTCTTACCTCACTTGCTCACTTCTTGACCTTGCTTGTACTGTCACATATATATACTCTTGCTCTTGCTTGCTTAGCCTCTTGTATATATGTGATCTTGCATGTGAACTGGCCTTCTGGCCTTTAAACTTGTGCTCGGAATGTGTGGTGACTTTGTGATCCACCCTGAGCTTTGCTTTGCTTTGCTTGACTGGTCTTGTGACCCCTTGTTCTCCCCCACTTTGCCTATGGGGGTGTGTCAGAACATTATAGCTTATATATTTGTGTAGGCTATAGTGGGGTATCCCATAGCGGGTACAACCCAATCAGGGTTTCCTATATGTACTCACTTCATTCATAGTTCATTCATTCTCGTTCTAGTTTCTTTCACAGGTTGATGCCTCCCTTGGATGGCATGCCATCCAATAGGGTTTTAGTTTTTTTCTGCCCGGGGCAGCAGGTCGTCAGGTTGTCACAGGTCGTGAGGTCGTCACAGGTCGTCAGGCTTGACGACCCATTTCTGCTGAGAGATACCCAACAGTTCCCACTGTCAACTCTACTTCCTTTGGGAGTCCCGTTTCTTGAATTCAAGCATCGACTCTGATCTCCCCTTATCTTCCCACCCCAAGTACCTTCCCAACCCCATCGCTATTCCCTACCAATTGCGTTTTTGGAACCACCTTGCCGTCACCTCTCCCTCACTCCCTGCCGTCGCCTCTCTTCACCCCCCACCGTCGCCTCTCCCTCCCTCCCCGCCGTCGCTCTCCCTTCCTCCTCCTCATCGCCTCTCCCTCCCTTCCCGCCGTCGCCTTTGGTGGGTTGCTGCACGACCACACGTTGTTTTCTTAGGCACGGTTGTCTCAGGTGCGTTTCCTTCTCTCTCCGAAATGTCATATTTTTTTTCCACTTTCCTCGTAAGTTCTCAATGCTGATTGGTCTCCTCTTAGCATTGTGCCTCCATTTTAAGAAAGGGAGAGATGGAGTGTGAGGGAGTGTGTGTAAACGGGAGCGAGCATGCAGGCGCATAGCGCGCTGGCGCCTAACGGGCTGGCGCCAAACGCGCTGGCGCCTAGCGCGCTAGCGCCTAACGCGCAGGCGCCTAGAGCGGTGGCGCCTAACGCGCTAGCGCCTAGCGCGCTGGCGCTTGCTGCGCTGGCGCTTACTGCGCTGGCGCCTAGCGCGCTGGCGCATAGCGCGCTGGTTCCTAGCGCGCTGGCGCCTAATGCGCAGGCGCCTAGAGCGCTGGCGCCTAACACGCTGGCGCCTAGCACGCTGGCGCCTAATGCGCAGGCACCTAGAGCGCTGGCGCCAAACGCGCTAGCGCCTAGCATGCTGGCGCTTGCTGCGCTGGCGCCGAACGCGCCGGCGCCTAGCGCGCATCCCAAAGTAGTAAATGCTAACCTGCATACTATGTACTATTAACGTGCTGTGTACTTACTAAGTAGCTACTCCTCTCCTGGGGGGTATGTACGCATATATGCTGATACATACAAACTACTACTCACCGCGGCGTGGAGTAGGTACAATGTCCCAACCCTGCTCCTACTCTGCGGGGGTGGGGAGTTCACACAATGTATTTGCAGTGTCGCAACGCTACCCTTTGAGGTTGGCTGGCCATGCAGTACGTAGTGACTCGGTAGTAGCAAATTCGAAATAGTCCGTACAATAACTAATTACAGTGTAGCTACTACGCCCAACATTTCAGGGTAACACATGTTAAAGCATGTAACACGACGTACACTGTTTTCAATACACCACATATTGTGCTATAATTAATATCCAGCCAGGTTTTTCTTTCCAATAAAAAATAATAACAAAAAACACAAACAGCGGCAACAAACTGTGGCATCACATGGGAGCAAAACCAACAGCACACACAGTCTACACCCCATCATCCTCATCTTCCTCGCCTTCCACGCTTGCATCAACATCTGCAAAATCCATGTCCTCCTTCTCATCCCCCACAATCTCCTCCGGCAGACCCCTCACTTCCTCCAAGGGTGGGTACTTGATGAGGGACTGGGGGAGGGGCGCAAAGCGGAAAGGGCGGAACAAAAAGGGGATGGGGGCGGATTAGTTGAGCATTTCACGATTGATAGGCGGAAAAACGGCAGCGACATCAAATCAATCTCACTGGCCATCCCCATCCCCATTCCGACTTCCCCTCTTCTCCCAGTCCCCTTTCCCCCTCACCTCAATGAGGCTCGAGCCGTCCCCCGTTCCGCACCGCTCGCCGCACTCCCCCATCCGCGGAGCTTGCGCGTCCTGCTCCGCCATGCGCGAGTAAAACGAATCCGCGCCGCCCTTAATATAGCCACCCTCGCTGCCGTGAATCGCGTCGAGCAGGCGGTGGTCGAGAGTGTGGCTCTCCGCACGGGCGAAGTAAAGCCCGCGAGAGGCATTGCGCCCTTGCTGTAGCACGGGGGGCGGCGAGGGCAGCCCCAGATAGCGCGCTGGGGGAGATGGGGAGCAGTGAAGGACTGGGGAAATGGGCGGGAAGCAAGGGAAGGGAGGGGAGGGGGGAGGGGGGGGAGGGGGGGGTGGGGAGGGGGGAAACGGGAGGGAGGGGAGGCGGCTGTGAAAAGGTGGGCCCAGCAACGCCAAAAGCCCCCTCTGCTACCCTCACAAGCCTTCATTCCCCCCACTCCCTCCCTTCCGTTCCCCCCATCGCACCACCCGCCCGCACTGCCACCCTCGCAAGCCCCACTGGCAGCAGCACGCACCCAAGTAGTTGATCTTCAGGCGGCCATCGGAGAAGCGCTCCAACGCCTCGATGTAACTCATGCCGTAGAGCGGCAGGTCAGCACGCAGGAAGCGGTGGGAGCCGTCGTGGTTGTTGCCTACGTCCACCCGGGAGTCGCCATTCACAAAGAGCGCTGTGATGGTTAAGAGTGTCGAGCAGCGCTGCTGGTGTGAATTGGGGGAAGTAGGGAGGGAGAGGGGAGGGTAGTGGTCAGGGAGAAGAAAGGAGGTGAGAGAGTGGGGATGAGGGGGGGGTGGAAGGAAGGGAGGGCACGGCGTGGCAGCCCTGAACGAGTGCATGGAGAGATTCCTCAAGCAATGCGCAAGACCCCTACAGACCCACTCGCTCACCAGCCTCACTCACTCCACCGCCCCACGCTACCCAGCGACAGCACACCCCCCTGCATGCCATCGCGCCCCATCCCTACTGCCTGCATCCGACACTGGCGGCGTTGCGCCACCTCTCTTGCCCCCCTGCTCAATCACCTCACATGCCCCACATACACCTCTCACCATCTCTCCCTCTCTCCCTCTCTCCTTCCCCCCCCCACAGCCCCTCCCCACCCCACTTCCCTCCCTACTCCAACGCCACCTCCCCTCTCTCCCCTCCCTGCCCCTCCACCACCGACTTCGCTACGTGCCTGCGCGCTTCACGGGGGCACCACTGCCGCGCACCGTCACCGCAATTGCGCCCACCATGACCACCGCTGCTCCCAGCGCCAGCCGCACCACCGCCAACCGCGCTCTCCGTGGACGAAGCCGGCAGAGGCAGCGCGCGCTGCTCCGCGCAGCGGCGGATGTAGATACCCCCGTGCGCGCACCCACCATCGCGCAACAGAGGTCCGGCGGGTGGGCGTGGGAGATCGGCGGAGGCAAGAGGAATATCCACCGCCGTAGAGACACGTGCGACGCCACCCCTCACCGTTAGAGAAGCTCACTGCGGCAACGGTCTCGCGTACCTCGTTTGCGCAGTCGTAGTCGAACGCGCGTACCCAAGTAAGCGCGACTCGCGCTGTATCGTGCTCGAATAAAGAGGGGAAAAGGGATAAGGGAAGAGAAAAGGGGAAGGGAAGATTAAATAAGGTGAGGAAAGCGAGAAGACATGAGAGAATGAAAGCATACGGAATTTATGGTCATTGCAATGGGTCGCGTCATGATTTGAGCGCATGCGAATGCTCACATCAAGGTCTTCGCTCATACTGTGCGCCGTCGTCAACTTTACGATACTCGTGTTTAGGAAAGTCAAGAACTATAGAAACTGGAGAAGCTTGTTCGCCGCTCGCTCTCCCCCTTGCTGCCCTGCCTCCCCACTCATCTGCCTCCCCCCCCCCACCTTCTAGTCCTTTTGCGCACATTCGATCGATATCGGCTCGACCCCTGACCATCATCCCTCGTTCCGCCTCGGCTCCGCCCGCCTGCGTAACCGTCGCCGTGTCCTGGCGATCCACCAATTTCGTGCTATGCCGTAACCACGCTTCACAAACGAGATGAGCGTAGGCTGCTGATGCGCTGCAGTAGCCATCGTAGGTAGAGGGGGAGGGTAGTACTTTGTGTTTCTAACTGCAAAACTTGACAACCAACAGGAAAGTGAATTGAACCACTCTGCCTTCAACCTAAATACAGTACAGATGACAGAGGGTTTCGTAATGGTTGGGAGTTGGAGCTTTGAAACAGAGCTGGATCCGACACAATCCGAGCAGCCAATCATGTGCAAGTGGGGTTTGCGATGGAAGTTGATCGTAACCATCCATCGATATGTTTGATCGGACGGTCGTACATAGTGTTTGTTTTGGTTTGGTTTGCTTTGGTTGGTTTGGTTTGGTCAATGCTTTGGTTCGGTTTGGTTTCAACAAAGCCGATCTAACCCAATTGGGAGTCTGTGGGTGTGGACGAGCAATCCGAACTGCCCACGTATACAGCAGTTGTGCAGTGGAGGGGGAGTCCCCTGACACTATGGAGTGTGATCGCGATACATTGTAGGGACTCCGTTCGATAGGTTGTAGATCCCGCATACTGGGTGTCAAGTTGGAGACTGGAGGGAGTAGCGAGTGTAGCCACAATGCATCTCGAAATACATAGTACTTGAGGAAAGTAGAACGAGAATGAATGACTAAGGAATGGAAGTGATACAAATATGGAACCCTAGAAATGTGTACCCCATATAGGCTACCCCACTATAGCCTACACAATATTATAATTTGACACACCCCCATGGGCAAAGTGGGGGAGAACAAGGGATCACAAGACCAGTCAAGCAAAGCAGACAAAGCTCAGGGTGGATCACAACGTCACCACACAGTCCGAGCACAAGGTCAAGGCCACAAGGCCAGTTCACATGCAGGAGTACACATATATATATAAGGCTAAACAAGCAAGAGCAGGTATATATATATGTAAGAGTACAAGCAAGGGCAAGGGGTGAGCAAGTGAGGCAAGACAGGCACAAGACCCAGCTGAGTGCAGAAGCGCTGATGATCACAAGGCGGAAGTGCCTTGGTGAAAACATCAGCAGTGTTGGCCTCAGAGGCCACGTACGCAAGTCGCAACTGACCACGCTGCTGCAACTCACGAGCAAGAAAGTAGCGGAGAGCAATGTGCTTCGTTCTGTGCTCCAGGCGCTGCTCCCGACACAAGGCTAGCATGGCCTTGTTGTCTACGTACAGCACCGGAGGAGAACGAGGCGGCTCTCCGAGGTCAGTCAGCAGGTAGGTGAGCCAGCGAAGCTCCTGTGCAGCCATGGCCCCGGCGTAGATCTCAGCCTCACAACTAGAGCCGAGAACATAAGACGAGCAAGTAGCCCGCCACGAAACAGAGCCGGAACCAAGGCTGAAGGTGTAACCCTGTGACGACCGCTGCGTAGCATGGTCGTCTGCCCAAGAAGCGTCCGCGTGCCCAGTGAGGACCACTGGACTCCGCCCTCCAAGCACTAGCCCCATGCCCGACGTACTGCACAAGTAGCGCAACACCCTCTTCGTTGCAGCCATGTGCTCTGGTCTGTATCTCCCAGTAGCAACATAGCGTGCAAGAATGCTAAGAGGGTATGCAAGGTCAGGTCGTGTGCAGGTCATCAGGTACATGAGGCAGCCAACAAGCTCTGGGTACAGGCCACTCGACTCTACGAACTCATCCGAAGGCAGAGCTGAGAGCGAGTGGCGAGTAGACAGAGGAGTGGCCTGAGGCGAGGAGTACGTGAAGCCGAAGCGCTGAAGGACCTGCTGCACCATGTGTGACTGAGTCAGGGTAATGGTGCGGCGTGCTCTGTCCCGGGTGATCTGCAAGCCAAGGTAGCTGCGCAGTTCACCCAGGTCAGTGCACGTGTGTCTCTTCTGCAGCTCGGACTTCACGTGGGCGAGTCCAGCAGTGTCAGGTGTGGCAAAGACCAAGTCGTCGACGTATACGAGGATGTAGAACGGCGGCAGAGAGGTGTCGGTGCGTAGAAACAGCGACGGGTCAGCAGTAGAGGGAGCAAACCCAAGAGCCGCAAGTGTAGTCCTCAGTGTGTCGTGCCACTCGCGCGGTGCCTGGCGGAGACCGCAGACTGGCCGTCGGAGGCTCCACTGGGTGCCAGGAGGGAAAGTCCCAGTGAAGCCAGGTGGACGGCGCAACCAGATCTCCTTGTGCAGGCTACCCTGCAGGAAAGCAGTGCGGAAGTCAAGGGAGTGAAGCTCGTAGTCACGCTGAGCGGCTACGTGTAGCAGCACCTGAAGAGTGGTCATCTTCGGGGTGGGAGAGAAGGTCTGAAAGTAGTCAACTCCCTGCCGCTGACTGAAGCCACGAGCCACGTACCGCGCCTTGAAGACAGGTGGAGAGCCCGACGGCCGCTTCACCCTGAAGATCCACATGCCGCTGACGATGTTCGCCCCAGGAGGGGGAACCGCGTCAACGTAGGTGCCTGTGGACTTCCAGGAAGCCATCTCTGCATCCATAGCTGCCTGCCACTGAGAGGAGTAGGGACCCTCTACGGCCTCCGCGTAAGAACGCGGAGTCGGGATGTCTAGTGCATCCGGGTCCGTGCCAAGAGCACACTCACCCCCGACGGACGGAGGACAGACAGACGCAGACTCAGCAACAAGACTAGCAGCGTAGTCTAGACGACAGCGAGCAGCAAAGTCGACGAGCTCAGCAACAAGAGCAGACGCAGCAATGGACTCAAAGGAGGGGTCAGTGACGACAGTAGCAAGGAGACGCGTGACAGTAGGACTGGCAGCACGGAGAGAGTCCGACTCAGGGTCGGCAAGCACTGGAAGAGAGGACTCAGGAGGAGAGGGCAAAGGGGCACGCAGAGGAGCAGTGGACGGACGCAGAGACATCCGATGCGTGCCAGGGACAGGAGGAGGACGCTGACGCGAACTGCGACCACTAGTGCGAGCAGCACGAACAGGCGACGCAGGACGAGACGCAGGCTCACGACGCTCAGCAAGACCTCCAGTAGGACCAGTGTAGGGAGAAGGAGAAGGCAGTGGGGAGGCCGGCGGTAACTGTGACTGCGACTAGACAGGCGGTGGACACTCTAAGGGAGGAGGAAGACCAAGAACCTGCTGAAGGAGCGGAACAAAGTACGGCCGAGGCCGCGCGGCGACTCCAGACACAGCAGGGACAGCACCAGCACCCCCAGCGGCAGCACCAGCGTCAACAGCACCTCCAGCTGTAGTACCTCCAGCAGCACCCGCAGCAGGACCGCCGCCAGGACTGACAGCAGTAGCCTCAGCGCCAACACCCTCAGCAGCTCCGACTCTTGTAGCACTCGCAGGACTAGCACCTCCGAGACCGGCGGCACCAGCACCCTCAGCAGCCGAAGAAGCACCAGCTCCAGTAGTACGCCTCCAGCGCCGAGCAAACCACTCGCGCAGCTCCTGTGGAGAGAGTGGCTCCCGCCGAGACGAAGCACCCGGAGAACCAGCAGGCCCAGCACCGCCAGACGCCACACGAGCAGGTCCAGCGGCCGCGGGCTCCGCACCCCCAGGCTCAGTAGCTCCAGACTCAGCACCCCCAGGCTTCGCAGCTCCAAACGCAGCACCCCCAGGCGAAGGACCCCCAGGCTCAGCACCCCCAGTCGTAGCACCCCCAGGCTAAGCACCCCAAGTCGTAGCACCCCCAGAGTCAGCACCCCTAGGCTCAGCACCTGCAGTAGTACCAGAGTCACCAGCAACCTCGACCGGCTCGACTGCATCTACCTGGGACACACCTGAAGGGGCAGGACCCTGAGGGGGGAGGGGGTCTACCGGGGGGGGACCTGGCACAAGGAAGTGCGGTGGCGGGGGGAGGGAAGGAGTGCGGTAGGGGAAGAGGCGGTAGTAGGGGACTGACTCGTCGAACGTGACGTCCTGGGAGGACAGAACACGACGAGAGGTGGGGTGGTAGAACTACCACCCAGGGGCGTCAGGGGGGAAGCCAAGGAAGACACAGGGAGCAGCACGAGGGGACAGCTTGTCCGCAGACAAGTCGCGGACAAACGCCCGAGATCCCCAGACACAGAACGCAGATGCATCGCCGACCTTCCCCGTCCACAGCAAGGCTGGGGAGGTCTCCGGTCTGGAGACCCTGGGGTGAAGGTTGATCTGATGCGCCGCGTACCGAACCGCAAACGGCCACAGAAAATGGGGGGCAGCCGCATGCATCATGGACGTACGAGCGACGTCCATGACCATGCCAATTGTGCGCTTAGCAATCCCATTTTACTGTGGAGAGTCCGGAAGCGTAAAGGTCTGGCGGATGCCTCGCGCACGACAGTAGGCTCGCAGAAGGCCAGAGGAGAACTCTCCGCCTCGGTCAGAGTGCAGACGCAGAACAGAAAGTCCGAGCCGAAGCTCCTCCTGAGTTGGAGACGA